TTATGTTTTGAGCATCAGTCAGATTCTGCTCTTCAGCTCTGTTCAGATTTCTCCAAACTGCTAATGTAAGTGTTATTTTTGGTGAAGTAGACTTTTAAAGGAATAGTTCAACAGTTTGGGAGGCCAACTTTTTTTTTCCCAGGGTGGCGAAGGCATGACAGCATTCTCACGTGTCCTTGAAATCCTGGAAATTTGGTGACTAGTCTTCCAGTTATGGAAACACCTGGAAATAATTTATGTCCTAGATAACTTTTCAGCCCCTGAGATTGTCTATCTAAACCTGGTTTGAGTAAAACTGTCAAATCACCAGAGACAGAAGGCGCAGAGCGAGCTAATGCTGATGGTCTCATAAACTCTGACCACCTACCTGTAATAAACCGGCATTGTGTAAAAAGTAAACTGGACCTACCGCTCGTGTTACAACCTTTTGTGAACCTGCTGTCCTGTAAAACTCCTGGAATAAGAGTTCATTACTTCATAGAAATGTTTATTTTTTACTGGGATTTACACGTGTATGCTGGTATGTATGGCAGGAAACAGGTTTTACCTTTTTATCCATTAAAAAGTTAAATAAATAAAATAACATTTGTGTAAAATGTTAATAACCATAAAGTATGCTATAAATGATCTTAACCATTCCAGTATCTAGTGTGTGTCAGTGAAAAAGTCAATTAAATAACCTACATTTCCTGAACTCTGTCCATTCAGGTTCAAGTATTTTAATATGAAATAATCAGCTGTAACCATCAAAGCAATCAATACATATTATTATTATTATTATTAATAATGCTACTAAAAAAGGAAACGTTCTTCTTCATCCCAGCAGCTCCATGCGCAGCTCCATGAGAGCAGACAGGTACTCGTCTTTTTCAACGCAGTTCAGAGCTTTCTCATAAAACTCCGCCGCTGTCTTCCTGTTGCCTTCAGCTTTGGCCACCAGAGCCAACAGGCCGTACGCCTCGTCATCGTTCTCGTCTAATGACAGACGTCTCTCTGCAATCTGCTTCAGCTTCTGAAGTCAAAGAACAAGAACATCTGAAGGGTACATTAGGCGACACATCTGCATCTGCCTCTATGAATGAGTGTGAATGTGGCTGTAGTGTTAACCAGAAAGGAACTATGTAAGTAAAGTCCATTTAGCAAACTAATGACCTGTTTCTTTACAGTCTATAAGTGTCTGAGGTAGTATGCATTGTGGTCCAGCAGAGGGCGCTCTTAATGTTCACTATTAGCTTGACCTATTGACTGATCAGTAAACTCAGCTAATCAATAAAACTGGAGGAGGACACTCCAAGCTGAGTTGATCAGATAATCAGGACACCGAAGCATCTGATGGACAAAATCCCCCCGAGTTCAGGCAGCGTCCAGAAGCGTGAGAGTGCACAACTGGTCTATACACTTGAAGTGAAATGAGAATCTGGTCAATTTTCAAAATAAAATACTCCAAATCAACATTTTGACACAAGACAGGAAGTCAATCAGTCGGAGGAGATTTGACACCAGACACTCGGGCAGGAAGACACTATGAAGACATTTCACTTCTGAAACATTCTTGATGGGATTTGAAGACACTCTATAGGTAGCCGAACCAAAAAAGGAAGTTCATTTATTAAATGTTAGTGGGTAAAAATAAGAAGTTGGCAGATTGAGGTTCTCAGAAATCATTTTAACAGCGTCAGCGGTGAAGTTACAGGAGCAGGGTCGTCTGAGGGGTCGGACTACTGCTGAAATCAACAAGAAGTGGTTTGAGATGAAGCATGGCGATAGATGAGCGCAGTGGGAAGCGTCAAGGAGAATTACATTGTGTTTGGAAAACAGCAGACTAATTGCACACAACTCCTACGAGTGATCTGGACAAATATAAATTGTGTTCGGGCCTAAAAGAAAAATCTGAACAAGAGAAAATGCCAAAAACATTCTCTTAAACCGGTCGTACAAGTCACTTAAGAACGAATGTCAGTACAATGGTTCTCGCATGAAGCCCCGTATGACTGACCTTTCTCCTGTTGATAAAAAAAAAATCTGATTCTATGATTAAAACACACCTGTGGACATAAAGACTCTGGACTTTGGTACCTATCACAGTCTCATCCTGACTGGCCGAACAATATGTCTTGACTTTACTGTTCAGCTCTTCAGTAGACAATGGGATCTGCCTAAAGAGTCTTTCACTCACCTTAGCACACTGTTTCCACTCCCATTTCTTGGGTGTCAGTTTAAGACCCTGTTGAGTGAATAAAACGCAGATCAGAACAGTAGACAGGTTCTTCCAGTATTCCAACTCTTGTCAATGCAACATACATACAGACATGAACCCACTTCGGTGTAGTGAGCGATGGCTTCAGCCTCCTGTTTGGTGTGATAGTGGTGAAACTCAGCGTAACGCAGATGGAAAACCTGACATATGTCTTTTTCCGTCTCTAATAACTTCTGTGAGCCCAGTTTGAACAACTCCTCCGCCCTGAGAGACAAAGACAGGAAGTCTAACGGAGTGTCCATACTAAATGTGAGTAATAGCCTACAGTAAATATTCCTCTAATCTGTCTCACTGCGACAATATGAGCCCAAAACAATCAGATGTTTCTGTGAATTAATATCAATAAATGGATCAAAATGATGCTGAAATAATGACATCATGATGGCGATTTGTAAGAAGTCTGAATTCATACATTGTTAGCTTTACTTTCTATATGAACACGTGATAAGAACAGAAAGACAAGTACTTGCTCAGATTCTTTTCCTCTCCGTAGAGCAGGGCCAGATCAGCAATGGCGAGGACAAAACCAGACTTTATCTTGACAGCTTCGTCCAGGTGTTTCATGCACATATACCTCCACAGCTTTGCCTCTAGTATATTGCAGTAGAGCATAGTTTAGTTAGATTTGTACATATAATGGGATATCAAAGTGCCTCTAGACCAATATGTGTGTACCTTTATTTTGTTTGTCGAAGGGCTTCTTGGTCTGTTCATCCGTCTTCTTTTTCTTGTAGCACATAGCCAGCTGGTGGTGGATGAAAGCTGACTTTTTGGACCTCTCCAGAGCTCGCTTCAGCAGATCAATAGACTGCTCGTTTTCACCCTGGAACATGGACACATACATTCATATCAGGAAAAAACACATCCATCACATCAATCAGACAGAGTTAAAGTAGCCTGGCCAAGTGAAGGGCAACCAGCATGGGTGTGAATCTGTCCCCTCCAAGAGTTTCTGAATCGTATCCAAATACCTGGACTACGATACCATTCAGGGACATTTTAATCTGGACCAATGAGATACGATCTGATTCAGTTCTAAACATTGGTTTAAGGTAGACATTTATTTTACATTCTAAATTAAAATAAGTAAATCCTAGAAAAGTGACATTGCTTACCTTCAGATACATATATTTTATAAAATACCAGCAAATCCCAAGTATTTGTTCCTTTATGATAAAAAAAAACTAATTCCAGAGTTACAGTCATTGTGTTTGTTGCTTTTCCAACCGAGAGACAGACAGATGTTCTGCAGTGATTACAATAGACCTCGCCCGGTTTCCAGCTATGTTGTGTCTGGAAAGTGTTAGCTGTGTTAGCATCCACGGACTCACCTGTGTGTCACCATGCCGTCTCGCCGGGTTACTGTTAAGATCTGTCGTGCAACTGCTGGACAGAACTTTTGTCCCACAGATCTTACAGATGGACAGACTTTTGTCCAACTTTCCTTCTTATAGAATCCAAATGTCTTTTAGATCTGATGGTGCTCTGTAAATCCAGTCTGTGCTTTCAGACTTGTTCATTTATGCACCGACCTTGCAAGCTACATTGTGCTAATGTTACTCTTGTTAACTGTTGACTAAGAGGGAGTGATCGATCCCAGCTCGAATATATACTGGATGAGTCATGTCCATCCATTTTAATGTACTTGGGGACCTAAAGTAGTCTTTTCCTGATGGTATCTTTTGTAGTGCTGAGGCTATTGCCATCCAGTGGGTGTTGGGATCTTTCAAGTTGTGCATTCTTCAAGCAATTTCAAGACCTCACAGTGAATGATGAGGTTCAGCCTCGGGATCAGGATTAAATATCCAATCTGACCTGGGAATGTTTTGGTATCGTCCTGGAGGTGCTGGAGGATGTCTGTGGGGAAGAACTTCTTGACTACTCACCATTGCGACCCAGATTAAAAGGCTGGATGGATAATGAATCACAGTAAGTATTCAGAGAGTGATTTAGACCTACCTGAATGCGGAGATATTTTCCTACGTAGCGCATGACATGAGGATGGTCAGGTTCGATCTTCAGTGCTTTCTCCACCAGGCCCTCAGCCTCTTGATGTTTGTTGTATGCAACCAGCTTCAGAGCGAGCATGGAGAGCAGGACGCCGTCATCAGGGTTGATCTGTAGGGCTCGGCGAAGCTGTTTGAAGGCCGGTGACTCCTCATCCTCCTTTAATGTTTCTTGAACTCTCTGCAAATAAGAGTCAGTTTATTGTTTTAAATTCCTCAGTTAGAAATCTTCTAAAGAGAACTTCTAAGAATCAAATCACAGATGAGCACTCCACTCAATGTAAATGGTAAACGGTAAATGGACCTGTACCTGTATAGCGCCTTTCTAGTCTTCCGACCACTCAAAGCGCTTTTACACTGCGTGCCACATTCACCCTTTCACACACATTCACTCAGTGAACACACATTCACTCAATGTGCCAGTTAGGAACAGCCAAGCGTCTACATGGCCTGAATTCTGTTCACTTTCATTATCCTTGAAAACTGACCGGTTCTGTGCGGTAGAGGGCAATAGCACAGCCAGCGTTCCACTCGCTGTCCTCAGGCTGCAACTCTAATGCTTTACGGAAGCAGTCGATGGCTTTGGGGTAGTAAGATTTCCGAAACTTAAGGTAGGTCCAACCTTTTTCTCCATATACCTCTGGGTGGAGAACTGTGGAGGAACCAGTGGGGTACTTCGCCTGTAAAGAGAAGGAAGGGCAGCAACTGTTTGATTAGTGACCCTGAGCTTTAAACATGTTTACCTCTGTCCTAAAGCAGTGTGTGGATACATGCCAGTATGTCGTCGACCCTCTTGCAGTAAATCTGTGACTGTGTGTAGTCTCCAGTTTGGTATTTCAGCCAGGCCAAGTCTCCGTACGTTACAATGAGCCGCCGCTCGCTGTCCTCAGTAAAACACTCTCTGGTCTTCTCCTCTGATTGGTTGAGAAGCGCCACTGCCTCCTCTTTTCGATCCTGAAGATACCTGAGGAGAGACAGACCCTTGTAAGATAGTTTATGTCTCACTCCCAGGTACAACATCAGCGGGTGTGAACAGGCCCGTCCCTAACCAATTTGGCGCCCTAGGCAAAATTTTAGGTGGCGGCCCCATTGCATCGCAGTAAATTCCACTGCCAGTTATATACATACATAGGAGATACAAGAAATATAAATAGCCCACACAAAGTATAAAATTTCACTACCTACAAAATAAAAACTGTAAACAAGTGATAAAATAAATTAAACTGCACCACCACCTAGTCATCCTCACATCACCTGCTATAGTTGTACTCTCCTAGTCTTTCTTGCAGCAAAGTCATCTACAACATCATCATATGACAACTGAGTTGAGACCACATGATTGATGCTTATGATGGAAAGTCCACTGAGACATTCTTGCATCATAGTAGATCTCAGGTAAGGTTTAATGAGTTTGAGCTTGGAGAAGCTTCTTTCAGCAGCAGCCACTGTAACAGGAAGAGTTGTGTCAGTCTAATAATAAAAGAAATGATTCCAAGAATAAAATTAAATAATAAAAATGAAAAACCTAAGAGATGCATTACTTTCACTGTACTATACATGAATTATAGACAGTGCATTTTTTTCTGATATGCAAATTAGATCAGATTTAATCTTATTGTCATTACAGTGAAATGCTGATTAGCAGAATGTAAAGAAGCAGTAAACTGCAGTATAATATAACATATGGGAATGTATTAACATTAATGATGTGCACTTTAACATGGATGTAAAGTTTAACACTATAAACACACTTTAGAACATACTGAACTGTAACACAACAAACAACAAGGCTTACAACTCTAATATATAAAGGTGTGTGAAAGGAACAGCATTTGACTGACTGTTACAAGCAGAGCAAACGTTAACTAACCAATAATAAATACAAATAAAAATGTAGACAAATGTAAACAGACAGGCGGCTCCCCTTGGTGGCTTACTGCAGTATAGACTCTCTCTCTATCTCCCCCTAGTGGCTGACTGCAGTATAGACTCTCTCTATCTCCCCCTGGTGGCTGACTGCAGTATAGACTCTCTCTCTATCTCCCCCTGGTGGCTGACTGCAGTATAGACTCTCTCTCTATCTCCCCCTGGTGGCTGACTGCAGTATAGACTCTCTCTCTATCTCCCCCTGGTGGCTGACTGCAGTATAGACTCTCTCTCTATCGCCCCCTGGTGGCTGACTGCAGTATAGACTCTCTCTCTCTATCTCTCCCTGGTGGCTGACTGCAGTAGACTCTCTCTCTCTATCTCCCCCTGGTGGCTTACTGCAGTATAGACTCTCTCTCTATCTCCCCCTGGTGGCTTACTGCAGTATAGACTCTCTCTCTATCTCCCCTGGTGGCTGACTGCAGTATAGACTCTCTTCTCTCTCTCTTCTCCCCCGGGGGGAGGATAATACTCTCTATCTCCCCTGGTGGCTGACTGCAGTATAGACTCTTTTCCCTGTGCTGACTGAGTTAGACCTCTCTTTCTGGTGGCTGACTGCAGTATAGACTCTCTCCCCTGGTGGCTGACTGCAGTATAGACTCTCTCTATCCCCCTAGTGGCTGACTGCAGTATAGACGCTCTCTATCTCCCCCTGGTGGCTGACTGCAGTATAGACTCTCTCTCTATGCCCCCTGGTGGCTGACTGCAGTATAGACTCTCTCTATCTCCCCTGGTGGCTGACTGCAGTATAGACTCTCTCTCTATCCCCCTGGTGGCTGACTGCAGTATAGACTCTCTCTATCTCCCCTGGTGGCTGACTGCAGTATAGACTCTCTCTCTATCTCCCCTAGTGGCTGACTGCAGTATAGACTCTCTCTATCTCCCCTGGTGGCTGACTGCAGTATAGACTCTCTCTCTATCCCCTGGTGGCTGACTGCAGTATAGACTCTCTCTATCTCCCCTAGTGGCTGACTGCAGTATAGACGCTCTCTATCTCCCTGGTGGCTGACTGCAGTATAGACTCTCTCTCTATCCCCTGGTGGCTGACTGCAGTATAGACTCTCTCTATCTCCCCTGGTGGCTGACTGCAGTATAGACTCTCTCTCTATCGCCCCCTGGTGGCTGACTGCAGTATAGACTCTCTCTCTCTATCTCTCCCTGGTGGCTGACTGCAGTAGACTCTCTCTCTCTATCTCCCCCTGGTGGCTTACTGCAGTATAGACTCTCTCTCTATCTCCCCCTGGTGGCTTACTGCAGTATAGACTCTCTCTCTATCTCCCCCTGGTGGCTGACTGCAGTATAGACTCTCTCTCTCTCTCTCTATCTCCCCCTGGTGGCTGACTGCAGTATAGACTCTCTCTCTCTCTCTCTATCTCCCCCTGGTGGCTGACTGCAGTATAGACTCTCTCTCTCTATCTCCCCCTGGTGGCTGACTGCAGTATAGACTCTCTCTCTATCTCCCCCTGGTGGCTGACTGCAGTATAGACTCTCTCTCTATCTCCCCCTGGTGGCTGACTGCAGTATAGACTCTCTCTCTCTATCTCCCCCTAGTGGCTGACTGCAGTATAGACTCTCTCTATTTCCCCCACGTCAGCTGAGGCCTGCTCCCATTGAGTCGGTGTATGTACAATCACTACTGCACAGACTCTGTATGATCTTTGACTGTGAGCTTCGACACTGTACTGTACCTGACATAAGCCAAGAAGCTGTAGGAGAGAGCAACGGCGCCTCGCTGTCCCAGCTGAAGGTCTATGTGGTCCTGGAGTCGAGTGCTTAGGTTCTCCAGGTCGAGATCTTCCTCTGTCAGATCCCAGGTGAACCGGCTCTGCAGCTGCAGCAGTCTGGAGTGAAGAGTGCTGCTACAGTGACTGCAGGTTGCAGAGAAAGGCTGATTATTGGCTGTTAACCATTGAAAACACTGTGTCGTTTCACACTATTACTAACAACCTTTCACAATAACGCTGAAGAGTCAAACTAGAAAAAACATTTATTAATCTCCACAGTTTTACTGAAAGACATTTAAGTATAATTGTTTTGAATAGACATTAAACACGTATAAGCAGTGGTGGTTCAATCTTGAACAACAGAAGTGAAGCAGAGAATTATATTTCTCAATTCCACAAATCCTTCATCAGAACAATTGGATTTAACTATTGCACTTGGAACAGGAAACAACAATCTCCATCTCCAACATTGCAAAAAGACAATGAACCCAGTTCTGCACAAAATATGACAGTATAAGTTATCAGAACTTAGAGAACCACAAGGAAATCCATACATATGCACTATATACATATAGTATATAAATGTGCCAAAATATATACAGTCAGATATATAACAAAGTAAAAAGAGCAGAGAGCAACAATAATATATAATATTACAAATAATGTACAAATAATATATAGAATAAATATTCTAAATAGCACAGAATCACCTTGGTGACCACATAATCGTTTTGTATTACCTATTTTTGTTTTATCACACAATTCAGAAAAACTTAAATGTGCATGAACTATAGGCCTGTATATCTATATATCTATATATATATATATATATATATAATATGAACTATAGGCCTGTATTTATATATATATATATATATATATATATATATATATACTATATATATATGTTATTATAGGCCTGTATGGTGGATCCCCCCCCCTTTCCCCTTCTCACACAGCTTCGGCACCTTCTCAGCGAGCAGGGGCTCTCAGCTGTAGGGAGGGGGGCAATTTGCCAATAGTCCACACAGTGTTATGATAGAACAGATAGATAATAGAAACAGCTTCGCGGCGCAGAGGATTTGCTCGTCCCCCCCACCCATACTACTTACAAACACGGGGAGATAAGTACAAAACAAACCATTTTCAATTATATGAATCATTTTCTTTTGAACGGAAGCCAACTGACCTCATACTGAAATAAAACCCTTCTGATCTGAGAGGAAGACAAGTCCTGATGATGTTATTGATCCGGCTGCTCCGTCAGATCAGACGTTGATCAGAAATGAAACTGAAGTCTGGAGTCTGATGCATTCACTGTCCCCTCTGAAATCATGTGAAAAAGAGAGTCAGAAGCTGTGTGCTGATACCGAAAGTATCCAGAGTGCTTCAACAAATCACACAAATGAGATAATGAATTACATAATGTAATAAATAGGTAAATAAAGGAATAATAACATAAATATATATAAACTATATCATAATATCGCCATTAACATGTTTATTATTCGATTGTAAGACATTTACAAGCATGTTGTTTTACAGCTTTCGAGGAGAGCCAGTAAGAGTCACGTCTAACAAATAATATTTATAAAATAGAACTGATTATTGGCTGTTTATTGGCTGTTTATTGGCTGATTATTGGCTGTTTATTGGCTGTTGTTGGCTACAAAACCATAAACTAATAGCATTTTGCAATGAAACAAGCAGCTCCTGAAGAAAACAACCCTACAGAAAAAATACTTTGTATTTTCACAAACACAGTATCTGAGTTCACAAAACTTAAAACTCAAACATTTATTGAAGACAGTTTCTGAAACACCTGGCTGTCTCCTGATCAAAGAGCTGATTGGTTCTGAGTTTCAACCACAAATGGTTTAATATGTAACAAACAGATCTTGTCTGATTGACAATATTAATACAGTTTATTTATTGATCAGCTTTCTGTCGGATCTTTACAGGACAGCAGTTCATCTCCAACCACCCTGCTGTTTCCTTAGAGGGCAGGAAGAGTCCTTATAAGGGCGTGACTGGGCTGATGTCAGTGTGGGCGGGGCTTGGAGTTGATATAAAGCAGCTGATGCAGCTCAGACTAAGAGACTAAACAGGACTTTACAGATCTGATGGCAGGATGTTGCTGCAGCCTCTTTGGACCTTCCTCCTGGGACACTCCTCCCTCCTGCTCTCACCATTCTTCCCTGTTATCTTCTCGCTGTCTGTCTACCTGTCCTTCTGTCTGCCCTTCCTGCTGCTGGATGTGCTGTCCTCCCGGTGGGCCCTGGTGCGCAGGTACAAGCTGCAGCCTCAGAGCTCCGTCAGCTGGGCCTCGGTGCGGAGCTGCCTGGCTCTGACACTCTACAACCACCTGGTGTTCATCTTCCCACTCACGGTGCTGCACTGGTACCTGCGGCCCGTCCACCTGCCCGAGGAGGCCCCGCCCCTCCCTCGCCTGCTAGTTCAGGTGCTGGTCTGCCTGCTCCTCTTCGACTTCCAGAGCTTCATCTGGCACCTGCTGCACCACAAAGTGCCCTGGCTCTACCGCAACTTCCACAAGGTTTGTACCTTTAACCTGAAAGCACTGATCAATTATTGATTAGAAGAAACTATGATTGGAAATCATTAAGTGCACTGTAAGAAAAGGTACATCCTACCTACTCTAGGCAACAGATTCAATCAATATGGTTAATTAAACATCATTTTTTTAATAATACAAATTGTTGTAACAACCCAACACTGATAGTCCAATAGTGTTCCCCACAACCCAACACTAAAACCCCCAAATTTTTTCCCCAAAAAAAAAAAAAAATTTTTAAATTTTTCCCAAACCCCTGATATCCGTTCCACAACCCAACACTGATAGTCCGATAGTGTTCCCCACAACCAAACACTGATACTCCGATAGTGTTCCCCACAACCAAACACTGATACTCCGATAGTGTTCCCCACAACCAAACACTGATAGTCCGATAGTGTTCCCCACAACCCAACACTGATAGTCCGATAGTGTTCCACAAAACATACTCTGATATTCCGATAGTGTTCCCCACAACCCACTCTGATAGTCCGATAGTGTTCCCCACAACCCACACTGATAGTCCGATAGTGTTCCAATTTCGATAGTGTTCCCCACAACCCACACTGATAGTCCGATAGCGTTCCCCACAACCCACACTGATAGTCCGATAGCGTTCCCCACAACCCACACTGATAGTCCGATAGTGTTCCACACAACCCACTCTGATATTCCGATAGAGTTCCACACAACATACTCTGATAGTCCGGTGGGGTTCCCCACAACCCAACACTGTTAGTCCGGTAGTGTTCCACATAACCTACTCTGATAGTCCGGTGGGGTTCCCCACAACCCAATCCAGTTCACAGACCCAAAACTCCGCTCATGGTTTTGTTGCAGATCCCCACAAAATCAAACCAAACCAGAAAATCTGTAGCCATAGTGTCTATCCGTCTGTCTCTCTGTCTGTCTGTCTGTCTGTTTGTCTGTCCATCTGTCTTCCTGTCTTTCTGTTTGTCTTTCTGTCTGTCTTCCGGTCTGCCTGTCTGTCTGCCTATCTGCCTGTCTGTCTGTCTGCCTGGTTGTGGATTTGACAGACAGACAGACAGACAGAAGCACAGCAAGAACAGTAGCAACAACTACACTAATAGTAGTGACTGATGTTGATGAACATGAAGAACAAACATTTATTGAGTTTAAGTAACCTACAGAGTCATTGTTAAACCTTAAATAAACCTGAGCTTAATTACATACTTTATTATTATTTATTAACAGTTAAATATTATTTTTTAACAGGTTTATTATTCATTCTTAACAGTTTATTATTCATTATTAACAGTTTATTATTCATTTATTAACAGGTTTATTATTCATTATTAACAGGTTTATTATTATTTATTTATTTATTAACTGGTTTATTCTTCATTATTAACAGGTTTATTATTCATTTATTAACAGTTGAACATAAGTATTATTTATGAACTATTTGTTAATCAGTTATTAGCATATTCATATTAACAGTTGTTATGATTTGTTAATTTGTCATTAGCCTTAATAAGAGTTGCTTTCTCTGTAGATCCGGTCCCAACTCTCAGATGAGACATCATAAACGAAACTTAAACTGAGTCTGATGATGCATTCACTGTCCCCTCTAAAATCCTGTAAAGAAGAGTATCAGACCAGACACCTCTGAACACAATGTCTGGTGGAAACTGTGCTGGATTATTATCATTATTATCATCATCATCATCATCATCATCATCATTATTATTGTTATTATTGTTATTATTATTATTATTATTATTATTATTATTATCACTTAACATGTGAAAGCTGTAAAACGTACTGTGCACACAGGAATTGTGGTTTTGGAATATTTTCATGGTGTAATGTGTGAAACCCATAAAAAACACAACACATGGATTGATTTATTGATTGATTGATTTACCAGAGACAATGCACATTAATCAACATGAATGTAATTAAATGTACTGGAGTTAGCTAATAAGCTAACTTTCCTCCGTATTACCTGAGCAGGTTATAACGTGTGAAACAAATCCTGCATTTCATACGTGATCAACAACCACATGTGTAGCAACCGATAATGTAATAATGGCCAATAATGTAATAACTTGCCAATAACGTAATAACGTTTTTGAGCCAATTAGGTACTAACATTTTGCCAATAATGTAATAAGTTATTACGTTATTGGCTGGTTATTACGTTATTGGCACAGCATTAAAAAAATCCTTTGAAATGTAATAACTGCAGCCAATAATGTAATAATACATAAATAGGACTGCATTTCTTGGAAATAAAATATTTTTTTGTAGTTTTTGTGCAGTTTCATCAAAAATACATATAGTGGATGGCATAGTCGTCATATTCATTCATCAAGGGTATGCATTATGCAGCACTCTCTCTCCTTAAATATTGTAAGCACATATTTAAGGAGAGAGAGCTGCTAACGTAATAACCAGCCAATAACGTAATAACAAAATGTTATTACCTTATTGGCTCAAAAACATTATTACATTATTGGCAAGTTATTACGTTATTGGCTTTATTACATTTAAAATGGCCAGAATTATTACGTTATTGGCAGGTATGACATTATTGGCTGTTATTACATTATCGATTGCTACAACATGTTAGACCCTGGTAAAAAGTGTTTGTTTATAAATGTGCAAATAAATAATATGTAAAAGATTGTTAATGTAATGTTTTAACAAAACTATTCATAAAAAGTCTTTAAAAGGATCAAAACTGTCCAAAAACATTTTTGAGAATCCAGAACTTAAAGTTTATTCTTAGTTATTATTATTATCAAAGATTATGTTTGTACAAATATCTATTCTGTCAAAGTAAAAGTTTAATACAACAAAAAATATAAACATTTGTTTGTAATTCAGGTTTTTATGTATTTAAATGCCATATTACCACCTCTACTCTTAAAGGCAAATATAAATATAATGCAAATATAATAACCAGTAATAACCAGAATAAACATCCACTGTCCCCGCAACCTCATACGTTCACTAACCAGAAACTGTTTCTGACATATTTCAGCTTCAATATACGTATCTAAAGCATATATAAAGCAGACTGTGGTCAGCCTGTGAGGTCTGTGGTGTCCAGCAGGGGTCAGCAGTTCACCACAGAAGAAGATTCTGGGAAAGACTTGAGACTTTGCTGTTTCATAAGGTTTTATTGTGATGAAGAAAGACCAGGAAAAAAATCCTGGAACACATTGCGCTCAAGGTAAGTTAAGGTGTGTCTCTCTTCACACACTCATCGTATCTGAATGCAGAGGTAGTAAAAGTACACATTCTTCACTCCAGTAGAAGAACAAATACTCAAAGTAGAAGTAGAAGTATTGATTCTGTACTCAAAGAAAAGTGTCTTATTGTTGGGAAGGCGTGCAATGATGCAAAAATAAAATCAATAATAATCAATAATTGCCCCCAAACTAAATTAATGAGTCTGTTTTTAAAATGTAGGAGTAGAAAGTTCATATATTTAAATAAAAATGTGAAAGTTGTCTTTTACTTTGTTACTTTCGACCTCTGCCCTGTATATACAGTTTATATAACTCTTATTTTGAATGTGTATTTTCTATCAGTCTGGAGTTCTGAACGAGATCTGAGATCAATAAAGTGTATCTATTCACTACATTTTACAGTTTTAAAATAAACAGTTTTGCAGACCAATAGTCTTCTGTTGAGGTAATTTACTCTTCTTCTTTAGAAAATCTTTGAGTCATAAAATTCTGAATTTTAAACAATGTTCAATTTTTAAAAAATTCAATGCAAATATGAATCAACTGTTTTTCACTTTAATCAGTTTAAAGTTCAGACTTTTTGTTTCTAAAACTTAGAGAGTTTAACTTTAACTTTAAAGTTTTTCTACAGAAGAAAAATTTATTTAAAACTTTAGATTTTAATTTTGACCTAAAACTTAAACATTTATTGAAGACAGTTTCTGAAACACCTGGCTGTCTCCTGATCAAAGAGCTGATTGGTTCTGAGTTTCAACCACAAATGATTTAATATGTAACAAACAGATCTTGTCTGATTGACAATATTAATACAGTTTATTTATTGATCAGCTTTCTGTCGGATCTTTACAGGACAGCAGTTCATCTCCAACCACCCTGCTGTTTCCTTAGAGGGCAGGAAGAGTCCTTATAAGGGCGTGACTGGGCTGATGTCAGTGTGGGCGGGGCTTGGAGTTGATATAAAGCAGCTGATGCAGCTCAGACTAAGAGACTAAACAGGACTTTACAGATCTGATGGCAGGATGTTGCTGCAGCCTCTTTGGACCTTCCTCCTGGGACACTCCTCCCTCCTGCTCTCACCATTCTTCCCTGTTATCTTCTCGCTGTCTGTCTACCTGTCCTTCTGTCTTCCCTTCCTGCTGCTGGATGTGCTGTCCTCCCGGTGGGCCCTGGTGCGCAGGTACAAGCTGCAGCCTCAGAGCTCCGTCAGCTGGGCCTCGGTGCGGAGCTGCCTGGCTCTGACACTCTACAACCACCTGGTGTTCATCTTCCCACTCACGGTGCTGCACTGGTACCTGCGGCCCGTCCACCTGCCCGAGGAGGCCCCGCCCCTCCCTCGCCTGCTAGTTCAGGTGCTGGTCTGCCTGCTCCTCTTCGACTTCCAGAGCTTCATCTGGCACCTGCTGCACCACAAAGTGCCCTGGCTCTACCGCAACTTCCACAAGGTTTGTACCTTTAACCTGAAAGCACTGATCAATTATTGATTAGAAGAAACTATGATTGGAAATCATTAAGTGCACTGTAGAAAAGATACATCCTACCTACTCTAGGCAACAGATTCAATCAATATGGTTAATTAAACATCATTTTTTTAATAATACAAATTTAAATTGATTATAATCAACTGCATGTAAAGTCTCCACGGAATCATTTATTCCGGTGTAGAAAGGAAACTAAAATTTCCATCAGAGAAGAAAGAATGATCAATAACAATAACTCCTCCTCTTCCTCCTTCAGGTGCACCACACCTACACCTCCACCTCCGCCCTCACCGCCGAGTACTCCGGCGCCTGGGAGACCCTGAGCCTGGGCCTCTTCGCCGCCGCCAACCCGCTCCTGCTGGGCTGTCACCCACTCACCGAGCTGGCCTTCTTCCTGGTCAACATCTGGCTGTCGGTGGAGGACCACTGTGGCTACGACCTCCCATGGGCCACCCACCACCTGGTGCCGCTGGGGCTGTATGGCGGGGCCCGCCACCACGACCTCCACCACCTCAAGTCCAAGTACAACTTCGCCCCGTACTTCACCCACTGGGACCGGCTGGCCGGGACGCTGTGCACACACCAGGACTGAGAGGATCTGGTTTCAGATTGAGTTTCTGATTGTGACATTTATGAACCGATCAGTTTCTGATTGATCAGTTCCTGAACTGATGGAGAAGTTTGAGGATTTGAACTGTTTCAGAGGAACTAGTTTCTGTCCAGCTACAATGCTGTTCAGACTCATCTTTTACATTAAAGACTGAAAAACACTTCAGTACATATTAATATATTTATAAGCATTTATTTATTTATTTATTTATTAACTATGAACCGGATGGATTTACTGTGTAATTAAACAAACTAACACCTGAGAATACGATTGTAGGATTTAAAGGCTTTGGTGTCGCAGTGTAATACTGAGCATTAATTATTCTTAATTATATAACTATTCAATTAATTATTCTCAGATGTTGTTCATGTGCAGTTGTGTCGCATTAAGACAACAGATTACAGATAGAAGTTCATATTGAACAATAATGTTTTTATTGAAATATCCTTTAATATCGGTGTAACCGACACATAAACCAATATTAAGCTTTCAGATTTAAGATGGATGACAGGAAGTGAAGAGACTGAACTGAGGAAGTGTTTTGAAGGTGAACTGAGGAAGATGATGGAAGTTTGTGTTGATATTGTGAAAGAAAAAGAGAGTTTTTGGAAGGAAATGTGACTGAAAATGTGAATGATGAATGAATGAAATGTGAAACAGTATTTTTTATCACTGAGAATAAACTTTATCAACAAAAACTAAATATCTGTTTGTTTCTTCTTTTCAGTCTGACTCTATGGAAGCTCATTTCTGCCCATATGATTTAAAAAAATCAATATAATGAGAAACTTTCTCATTATAATAACTAGTGATAATGTTAGTTTCATCCAGCTAGCTGATCTGACAGTGTTTTGCTACATTAGCTAGCAATTTGTCCCCATTAGTGAGAACATATTTATGTCAACACAACTCATCAAAATATCTTAAAAGATGTATCTATCTTAATAAATAAAGTTTTATCTTGCAACCATACACTGCAGAAAATAAATGCTTCAGTTTAATCAGAAGAATGTCGTCAGTGTATCGGTATTGGCTGTTTCTCTCTCAGATAAAAACTGACTCACTGATTGAGTTTCCTGCTCTTTACACCAGTTAGCTCCTCCTGCAGAGGTCAGTTCAGCCAACCAGAGAGAAAGATTAGTGTCACACAATCACAGGGTGTGTGTTCCTCTGTTATTCATTAATGTAGTTTCACATTAAAGTAAAGATTAAATCACAGAACAAATATTAAATGTTGTGAGTCTACTGGAGGCGGAGGCAGACAACCTCCTTAACAAACGTTATTACTGTGATACAATATTATATAGAAGTATAATATAAAACTGCATTATATTACAATACTGCATTATAATATATAGCAGCATAATATAATACTGCATTATAATATATAGCAGTATAATATAATGCTGTATTATAATCTAATATAGCTATATGATATTATAATTCTTTATTATATTATAATGCAGTATTATATTATAATGCAGTACGGAAGTGTATTGCATTCACTTGAAAATGTATGTTTTGGTTTGTTTTTTGGAGTAATTTTTTTTTCTGTTTTTCAGAGTAATTTTTTTTTCTGTTTTTCAGAGTAATTTTTTTTCTGAGTTTAGAGAGCATTTGAAACAATAGATGCATTCATTCCTTTATTGAGAGCTCGATTTAACGGAAACAAACATAACCGGCTTGTTTAGTTCAATCAAGTTATACTTTGATCTGGGTTTAAGACACTGGGAGATAGTCCCGTCTTTAAGTCATATAGATGGTATTATCATTAGTTTGTCGACTCCATGCAGGAACCTGAGGACTTGCGGTTGTTCAGAAAGAAAGCACATTCAGATCTGTTACATATATAGATAGCAATATATACATAGCAATATATACATAGCAAAATTGCAGTAGATAGTTGAAGATGGGGCATGTATGTGCGGGCAGCAGTCACCATAGGTCTGTGGGAGTCACTTGCAGGTTGGAGGTTCTCGCAGCAGTTCAAAGTATCTCGGTAATGCAGAAAGAAAATTACTCTGAAAAACAGAAAAAATTATTCAAAAAAACAAACCAAAAAATAGATTACTCAGAAAAAACAGGGTTTTCTTTTTTCAAATGAATGCAATACGCTTCCGTACTGCATTATAATATATACCAGTGTAATATAATATAGCTATATTATATATATATATTATATTATAATATAGCTATATTATATTACAATTCAGTATAATATTACTGTTGCTATAAAACTATATTCAACACTGCAGCTGAACTTCAAGAAAGAAATAATCATAGAGAGGATGAAGATGAAGATGAAGATGATACAAATTGGTCCTCCTGAACTCCAAAATACTTGAGTAAGAAGACTGCAGTATCAAGAAGTATGAAGAAGATTTACTTTATTGATCCCCAATAGGGAAATTATTTTCAATACAATCTCACACACACACACACACACACACACACACTATTACACTACACTAGTTATTGTTAGAAAAAATATTTTTTTTACCAGAAGACCTCTGACACAGACTGACCTTAAAGAATGAATCACAACTTCTTAATTCTTCTTCTCAATCGTAAATTACCGGTAATGCATGAATAATAATGTTTGAATAAAGAGTTTCTGAGGAACCTTTAATAAAGACCCTTAATAAGTCTCTCCCTTCCTGAGGAATGCTAATCACATGCAGTTTTTTGGTATGACTGTGTTATTTTCTGATGCATTAGGATCCATAAACTGGGAATAACTGAGACAAGTATGTGATGCAAGAGGTCTGGACCTGCTGATAACAGTGTATATGGGGACATACAGTGAGTAGACCGTGAGAGTAGAAAACACCTGGATGATGACAGACTGTAAGTGAAGTTCAGTAATTCAATAATTCTTAGTCACATTCAGGGAACTTCTTGTGATCTTTCCAACCTTTGAGGACCAGACAGAGTTACAGATTTCAGTGCAGTGACTCACAGCTGAAGATTTCACTCCCAGCAGCCACTGCTTCCTCTCACTGACTCACCAACAGATTGAGCAACAACATTTACAGGAAGCTGACCTCACAAAAAGTGAATTGTCACTGACATAATAAAAAAAATCTGAAGGAAAAGGGAAACTTCAGAGTAAAAGCATGAAACAGTGAAGTGGAATGAAGCCATAAAAGAGTTGGAAACATCCTCAGGAAGGAAGTCAGGCGGTACATGTGGTCAGTTCAGTGTGATTATCTGTGGACTGAAAAAGCACAGCAGTGCCTTCACAAAGAGATTAAACTGTCTGATAACACGAGAATATGACATCCTGAATATTATACAAACCTCATACTGAGATTCTGCCTCCTCACAACATAAAACCACAGTTAGATATATTAAAAACCTTCATCTAATATAATAATAACACAGTTTACATCAGTTCTGTCTGTTATTCATTCTTAAAGCTCTTAAAGTGAATTAACATAAAATGTGAGTTTTAACTTCTTCCTGATGTAAATCAAAGATCAATTTAAATTCAATTGTTTAGATTATAAAACATAAAACCAACAGTAACAGTTATTAAATATTAAATACAACAGCGGGATTATTATACTGTAATTTTAAAATCTAATTAGATAATAATAATCTATAAAAATCAGTTCAGTTTTGGTTGTGATTCAGATTTTAAAAGTCAAGGTTTTTTTCAGGTCAAATAGAGGAACTCAAACCTAGATGAGGTTTTCATTTTTAACCCATTTGTTGAGTCTTGAGACATATAACCTTTTATTAGATAAAATGAAAAATCTCTTTTATCAATGGTCAAAGTCAGTTCATAAATATCAAATACTTGTTTGTGCTCTGTGTAGTTTCTGAGATACAGACACATTCTTATTATACTATATGAATAAACGGGGTCCTATAAGTATTCCATATCAATATAATTTACTAGTTGGAGCAAATTCTTCATATTCAGGACATTTTCTACCATTGTAGAAACTAACCCAGTATAGATGTTAAAGGAAGGAGGAGTCTGTTAATGTTAATGCATCTCACACACACACACTGTATAATAAACAGTGCATAGTGTCGGTGACGTCCCCCATAAGTCAATGCTGTAGATACAGGACATAGGTCAGCAATTTAAAGTGGTATTATTATGAAGGTTACAGTGACCTCAGAGAGAACAGATGAGTCAAGGTGAGTCACTGTGGGCATTATCTTAGTGTGATATTAACTAATAATTATTAATTATGCTAATTGTCTAACATACGGGTGCACAAGTTATTATCTGTCATAGTGTAAATGAGACCCAGACTGAACATTACTAGCTCACCAGTTTTAAATTCAATTTCAATTTCAATTCAATTCAATTCAATTCAATTTTATTTGTATACCGCCAATTCATAACAGAAGTTATCTCAGGACACTTTTCAAATAGAGCAGGTCTAGACCGAACTCTTTATAACATTATTTACAGAGACCCAACAGTACCACCATGAGCAAGACCTTGGAGACAAGGGCAAGGAAAAACTGCCTGTTAAAAGGCAGAAACCTAGGACAGATCCTTCGGCTCTAGGTGGGTGGTCGCCTGTCTCGACCAGTTGGGGTGAGAGAGAGAGAGAGAGACAGACAGACAGACAGACAGACAGACAGACAGACAGACAGAATGAATGCACAAGTTTATGTAGGCAATCTTCGCAGGGATCTAATTTAAAAGTTTTCCATTACAACATACAGTAGATTGTTTCAAGGATATGTGGTCATTTTATCAAATCAAATTCCAGGAGTTTCCACGACTGGAAACTAAACAACCAGCTTTCCAGGACAGTCGGGTGCTAATGTGTGCTGATGATCTCTGCTGATAATCCCTGAACTATTTACGGCTCTGCTTGTTGTTTTCTCACTTTCTCTGCAACTCTTTCTACTTCCTGCAGCTAAACTTGTGAGTGTTGAAGCATTTTACAATGATCACAATCTCAAACACTGAAACCTGATCCTGGTCCTGTAGGAACCTGCCCCCTGTTGGCCCAGATCCTGGATCTGTAGGAACTTTCCCCTGTTGGCCCAGATCCTGGACCTGTAGAAACCTGCTGCCACCTTCACAGAGCTGTATTGTTTTAACACTTTAGTTCTCACAGTGAGTCAGTGACGCAGCCCACATGTCGAGGCAGGACGACGAAGGTGACGATGATGACACTTTATCCTTCTGATGTGGTTTAATGGACCGGTAATAATAATCACATGATAATAATAATAATAATGTGCAGGGTTTACAGAGAGATCAATAAAATAACCAACAATAGAACTTGGTGCCGTGTTACTACAACTGAATGAGTGCTGCTGGAACGAAGCTATTTCTGTATATCTTTGTTCTGCATCTTGGTTCTATAAACCTCCGTCCAGAAGGAAAAGTTCACTGTGAAGATGGTGTGACGTTGTTTATGGAGATGGTTATTGGCTGTGATTATCTGCTGCACAGGAATTCTGGGGAAAGCCAATCAGACTGTAAACAATCTCACAATCTAACAATCTGACTGAGAGAGTTTCTGTTTTCAAACTATGAGATCAAAGAAAAACAGATTCCGTAAAAGCAAGAAAAGGCTATCAGATTAGTGGAAAATATTTATATATATATATATATATATAGAGAGAGAGAGAGAGAGAGCGAGAGAGAGAGAGCGAGAGAGAGAGAGAGAGATTGCACACATTCAGTTGCCGCACACAAATACAAGTAGAGCATTTCCTTCC